ACATGGCTGTTCATCACAACCACCCAAGAGCATGTTAAAGATCTGGATTCCTGTGCCAGAACCCAATTAAGTCCAAATAACTTAGAAGCCCCAGGTGAAGAATCTAGAACTTTTTTTAATGATCTCCCAGGTGATTGTTTGCATGTAGTCAGCTTAGCACCAATATTTGAACAATTATTGAGGGCTGCTAAACATTTTATTCTTATACCTTATGCAAGAGTTTCCGTGTTAGTATTATCCCCAAGAAGCTTTACTAGTTCCCTCTTGGCTTGAAATTTGTAAAACCATTCTCTTCTTACTTATTTTAGCACACAGACAAAATTCGCTTACTTGCCATTTTCACCCATTGGCCTTTCTGAGTCCTGCCACTGTAGAACTACACAGAATGAATCTAATGCTACTTCACATATTTGACACCAGCTATGTCTTTCTCTTATATAGGGCAAGTATTTTGCTTCTTTCATTAATTACATTATGGATTCAAGTTCTAGTACGATTGTCTTCACTCGCAGCTGGATACAACCCAGTTTGCTTATGTTGTTTCTAAAATATGGTGGGCAAAGCTGACCTCAACACTGTGCAGTATAAACAGTGAAGAGAAGAATGAGATTATCATTTCTCTTTTCCTGAACACTATACTTGTGTCAGCGTGTTCCAGGATAACAGAAGCAGTTTAGGCTATTTCATCACATTATTGGCTAATATTGAATTCATTAAATCCTGAAGTTAATATGTGCTGCTCTTAAGCCATGTTAGTTCCCATACTGAATTTACACATTTGAACACTTGGAGATGCTTTAAAAATTAAGTACCAGTGTTTATAGTTATATTTACAATATTCTTCATGCTGCATTTGGCCTAAACTTTTCCTAGGTCAATATTATTTTGGATCCTCATCCTTTCAACTAGCTCTGGCTGTTCATTCTTAATTCATATCAATCACACATTTTATACACAAGCCATAAGTAATTCTTCCAAGTCACCCAGAGAGCCAAAGTCATGCTTCTATTTAGAATGAACTATCAATTGCAAGGAATAATTATTTTGTAAGGATTAAGGTAAAAATAAAATGAGTTTAACTTAAGCACAACCTCATAGATCATGCATATGCTTCCCTGCGGTGTTGAACTCTATTTCCTTACATGTGGACTTTAAAAGGGTTTAATTTCCTCCACCTGGAGTTGGTGAGTCTTGTTACTGTTTTATTCTATCTGTTCTCTGGTGATCTGACTTACATAATTAAGTTCACTTCCTCCTTTCCCCCATGGGTTTTAGCTTAAACTCTCATAAGACTTCCCATATGAAATAGGAACCAAGGTACATTGCACTCGTTTCTCAATTCTTGTTTTTCTGGTCCTTCTTAAGTTGGAAGAGTTAAGAGTGTTTGTGACAACTTTGAAATTTGGTTTTAAGTCTCTGTTTTTGGTTAAAACAATATCTAATATTAGGAATAATCGTATAATTTGAAATAAGACAAAGGTACAATCTTTAAACCAAAATAAAGACGCTTTCTACTTTGTGGCACTTAAAGATATAACTCATACAAAGTTAGTTTTAGAACTCCAGTAGAAATACGAATGTACTATCCCTAATCCCAAATTGTCTCTATCCTATCTCATAAATCACTTTCAACCTTTTGTCTTCTTTGAATTCATTTTGCTACTTTTGTAGATTCCATCACCATTATCTCTAATGTAGTCTTCTACAACAGCTTCCCAAGTCCTCTCTCTTTTTTCAGTCTCCAAAAATCAGATATGGAGGGGAATATTTTAATAAAGAAAACTTTGAAATCGATATCACAAATAATTATACCATTTTACAGTAAAGTCTATCACACTGTTATTACACAATAATGTTACAATAAAATTATCTGGGTATTACTCTCAGAGAAATTGTGAAATATTCCCTTCTCCTTACTTAGGTCAAGTCACAGTCCTTGACCTTAAAGACAACCAGAAGGCAAAGTAACAGAATGTCTTAATATTTTAAATTATTCAAAATACATAAATTAGCTCAATGAAATGTAAATGTTGGCTTCATTATTTTAAAGTCTGTGGAATTCCACCTGGTTCCTTTGACATGTCTAGCTCCAGAAGTTTGTATTGAGGAGTTGATAAGTCAGAGGCAGAATACTTCCCCCATCCCACAGGGCAATGGTTGCCATCCCTGGCGAATTGTCAGAATGACTTGGGTAGCTTTTGTTTAATATACAGATTCCCACGCACCACCTGAGAACTACTGAATCTGGTTAACCTTGGGCAGGCTGGGAATTTATGAATTTAAAAAGCTCCACAGGTGATACTGATGATCAGCCAAGGTTGTGAAACCACAGACTTAGGAAATTATGGTGAATGGGTAAGAGAAATTTGAATGCCATGGAGAGGAAGTATGCCCTCTAAATATAAAATTTTACAGTTGCCAGCAGGTGAAGACATGTAAATGAAGTCTATGAGAATGGATTCAGAGATTAACCATGCAGAGCTATCCCTAGTGGATTTATTATTTTTTTATAATATAAACCCCAAATGTCAGGGTTAAAAATGATAATTGTCATTGTATTGACTTTGAAGAGTGAGGTTAAAATTTAGCAAGGTTTCAAGTAGATTCTTCCACCAAATTACTTCCTTGGTAACACCCTAGACCTTGTTACATCATAATACTGCATCTCAATATTGCACACAAAATTGCTAATTCGAACATCCTGTTCTCTGTCCATAATCTCCTCTCTATTCAGCTTACTTATTTCACTCTTGACCTTTGTTTGACCACATCAGGACTTTCGGTTGCCCTTCCCTGTCCTCCTAATCCGCTTGCCCACTCTTTCTCCAGTTCCTTAATCAGTCTAGAGATTACAAAGCTCAAATTCAATACCACTCCTGCCAATAACAAATGTTCCTTTGCCTCTTTGCTTTCTTATTATAAGTGTTCAGAAAGCCCCAAACCTGGATCAGCCCTATTTTCCTCTTTCTCTGAATGCTCTTCTTCAACTGCATGTTGCAATGGCAGATAAATTTAGGGTAACCAATTTCAAATCGGTTTTCCACCTTGCATAGCAACCTTACAATTATTTTTTTCTTCTTAATTCACTTTCTCAGTGATTACTTTGTAACTTCTTTATACCCCTCACCCTTCCAAACATACTGCCTCCTTCCTGCTTTCTCACTTGGAAGCCATCAGAAATACATTTTCCCAACTTCCTGCTACCAGTTCTATGAACCTCCACCTGCACTCATCTTTTCCTTCTCTCTTGTCTCTACTCCTATTTAAGGTCAATCTTTTCACCTGAGTCTTGGATTCTACTCCTTCCTGATCTTTCGTAAACATTACACAACCAAATAATTCCTCTCTCTTTTCTGCATGTTAAAGTGATTCCTAACATTGGATCATTCCCAATGACATTTAAACATGCATAAAAATGTTTTAGAGCTTCCCTGGTGGCACAGTGGTTGGGGATCCGCCTGCCGATGCAGGGGACAGGGGTTCATGTCCCGGTCCAGGAGGATCCCACATGCCGCGGAGCGGCTGGGCCCGTGAGCCATGGCTGCTGAACCTGCGCGTCCGGAGCCTGTGCTCCGCAACAGGAGAGGCCGCAGCGGTGGGAGGCCCGCGTACCGGAAAAAAAAAAAAAATGTTTTAAAGTCTATTTTTTACCTCTATACTCAGACCCCATTCTGGCTAACACCTCACTTTCCACCTTTCTCGTCACTTTCAGAGCCAAATGTTTTAACCTCTTAAAAGAGTTATAGATTCCCTGTTCTTTTCAACACTTTGACTGATGTTCTATCTTCTTTAATTTGGCCTCTGAGGTTAACAATCACCTCCATACTGCCAAACCCAATGGACATTTTTCAGTTCTTGGCAGATTTTGACATTATTAACCTCACTTTTCGTCTTGAAACAATCCTGCTGGTTTCCATGGATAGTATTATCTACTGGTTTTCTACCTAGCTCTCTGGCCATTCTAACTTTCTATAATTAAAAAAAAATTTTTTCTGCAGATTCATCCTCCTCTACTTGTTAATTAAATGTTGGACTTTCTCAAGACTCAAGCCTGGTCTCTCTTCACATTCTATTACATATCTACAGGCAAATACATCTATTACCACATATATGTACATAACTTTAAAAATTCTAAATGTAGCTCACATCTCTCTTTTAAGCCTGAGTCTACTAAGCCTAATAAACCTACTATATATCTGATTTCACATCTCCATATGAATGCTTCAGTCTCAATATGTCAAACACCAAACTCCCTCCAAAGTTTATTTTTCTCTGCAATGTTTCTAATGTCATTGAACAGTTATACAATGCATACAGATGCATAACTTAAAAATCTCAGATTCATCCATGATATTGGACTCTTCACACTCCAAAAGTTAATCCTTCTTTGAGATTCATCTATTCTTTATTCTTTTCTATCAATTCACATTTTCCATATCTTCTGTCACCATATTCTAAGCCACCACCATCTCTAACCTGAATTAACATACTAGTCATTTAATTAATTTCCCCTCACTTCCTGTACTTCACCATTCTAATCCATTTTTGACAAGATACTGAGTGGTCTCTTCAAAATGCAATTCTCATGTTCTTCTCAGCTAGAATAAGTTTCTTATTGTTATTGAATAACAGTTTTAAAAGAATGTTGCCATCTTTTATCAATCCCTCAAGCTTTAAAATCTTTAAAGACTTTCCATTGTGTTTAATCTAAAGACCAAAATCCTTAACATTCTTGAAATCCTCTAAAAGAAGCTGAATTGTCTGGCCCATGCCAATCTTCCGAGCCTTGCCTTCTACCACTATCCTCCTAGCTTTCTCTTTGTTCCTAAGTTATGCCACAGGGCTGTAATATTCTTTGGAATGGAGAGATGATCAAGATCCCTACAGACTAGATTAAGACAGAAGATCGAGAGTTGATGTAATAATAAGTAGAACAGAAAAGGTGTATTGATGGCATTTCCAGGTGAAAGCAAACTACTTCTGGTCGTTTTTACTAACAGGTAAAAAGAAAACTATTTTCTGGATCAACAACTACATAGCAGATAGGATGGGCTGTGTTGACTGGCACCATCAACTGGAGTCATCATCTCATTAAGTTAATAATAAATCAATATCATTTTGATGACCATTTCTCTTCTGCAAAGGCCAAACAGGTAAGTTGAATGATGATATAGAAATCATAATCTCCAGTTCTTTCAATTCTCTGATGGTTGAATTAATCTCTGCAATTTCTTCAGGAAAGTGAGATTGCTTTGGTTTACTCTTTTGATAATAGTAGTAGTTCTAGGGGTTTCCACTAGTCATTTCTTGGGTTTTCTTTTCAGAATAACCCTCAATATGCCAATTAAAGAAACAATATTTGGATTTTGCCAGTTGCTGAGTATGTGTATTTCAACTATGCATTCAGGAATTGGAAAATATCTATGAAATGTGTCCAGGGACCTCATGAGCTCCCTTTGAAATGGACCTGAGTCAAAAACTCCACTCATCATTCACCTATATCAGTTAAAGGGACAACCTTAATCAATTAGCCAAAGCCAAGGACATCTCTGGGTCAACCATTCTTATTACAGCTTTGACATTGATTTTAATTATAATAACCACCTTGTCTCTGTTGAATAAGAGATACCACTTGACCCTTACCACTTCAGGATTCAATTACCCTCACTGAATTCAAAGAGGCACTTCAGGATGCTGCCATTGAAAACTGGCAGAATTTCCTACTGTCATCTCCAGCCCTCAAAGAAAATGTAGTACAGAGGACTTAAAGAATCTTGAAATTCCTCTCACCAATGTATTTCTCAAACTCTTGGGAAGGTATTTTCCTCTGGATTCTCCCATGGGACGTAATATGTGACAGATGAATAGCTTGTACATAATCCATTTCAGAATTCCAATATCCCTTAGTATTTGAATAATAAGAGAAAACTGACATATTTACAAATGTATTACCATTCTGGTGCTTTTCATTCCTTTGTATAGGTCAATATTTCCATTTGCTATTTTCCTTCTGCCTAAAGGATTTCCTTTCATATTTCTTGTAGTGTAAGTCTGCTGGTGATGAATTTTGGCAGCTTCTGTATGTCTGAAAAAGCCTTTATTTTTCACTATATTTTCGCTGCGTATAGAATTCTAGATTGATGGTTTTTCTTTCAGTATTTCAAAGACATTGCTGTGCCATATTCTTGCTTGCATTGTCTCTGCTGTCATCCTTACCATGATTTCTCTGTACATAAGGTGTTTGTCTCTGACTACTTTTAAGATTTTCTTTTTATAATTGGTTTTGAGTAATTTGATTATGATGTGCTTGGTGTAGTTTTTTTCCCCATATTTCTTGTGCTTGGGATTCTTTGAGCTTATCTGATCTATGCATTACATTTTTCATCAAATTAGTAAAATTTCTGACTATTATTTCTTCAAATATTTTTTTTTCTGTTCTCCTTTCCTCTCCTCTTTGAAGACCCAAATTACATGTATATTAGGGTCACTTGAAGTTATCCCACAGCTCAAACATACTCTGCCCCGCTTTTATTCCTTTTTCTGTATTTCATTTGGATAGCTGTGATTGCTGTCTTCATATTTACTAATCACTTCTGCAATGTTTAATCTACTGCTAATCTTATCCACTATATTTTTCATTTCAGATATAGTTTTCACCTCCAGCAGTTCAGCATGGGTCTTTTTTAAAAGATACCTTCCATGCCTTTGTTTAACTTTTAGTACATATGAAATACAGATATAATAACTGTTTTACTGTCCTTGTCTGCTAGTTCTAACATCTGCATCAATTCTGTGTATGTTTCAATTGGTTGATTTGTTTCTTTGTTATGGACTGTTTTTCTTGCTTTTTGCATAGTTGGTAATTTTTTATTAGATGCTAGAAATTATGAATTTTACCTTGTTGGGTGGCAGATATTTTTGTACTTCTATATATTCTTGAGCTTTGTTCTTGGGTGCAATTTACCTACTTAAAAACCATTTGATCCTTTTGTATCTTATTTTTAAGGATTTTTTAGATGGGACCAGAGCAGTGCTCAATTCAGGGCTAAAAACACTGTGGTACTTTACATAATGCCCCATGAATTTTGAGGTTCAAACTTCAAGCCTATGAGAACAGACACTGTTCCTGCCCTTTTGTGAGCAGCAGGCCCTGTTACAGCTAATTTTGGGGGTTGGATTTTTCCTTGGAGACAGGTACTTTTCTCACATGCATATATTGATTGTTACTCAGCTGAACACTCAAGGTGACCCTCTACAGATATCCAGAGTTCTCTTTTTGTGTATTTCTCTCCTCTTCGTCTCTGTCCTATGAACTCTACCATCCTTGGTCCCATGGTCTCCTGAAACTCAATATTATCTCCTTAACTCATGGAGTTCATTACTCTCCACCTCACATGGATCACTGTTCTTTGTTCTGTGATATCCAATGTCTTCCAAATTATTATTTTATATATTTTATCTATCTTTGATTGTTACAGATGGAAGGGTAAATCCAGTTCCTATTTTTCTGTCTTTGCTGGAAGCAGAAATGTCCTTAGTATTTAGACACCCTCCTCTACAATAGACCAAGGAAATTCTGGCATTTCAATTTTATCCAGCATAGGCCACCTTTGAGTCTAGGTTTAAGTCAACCAATGGAGCAAACTGTTAGAGCCACTCCCAGTTGCCTAAGTGAATACATCAAATTCAGCATTTCTTGTTAGTGCATCAATGTGAAATCTGGCAAAATATTACATTATACTTTTTCCACCCTGAATCAACTGTGTTAGGACACACTCCCATTCATATTTCCCAGGCTTCTGTGAATATGAATTAGAAAAAACTTGAAATTCTTTCCATGCATATGGTACCTCCTCCCAGGTTACACATTTACCCAAGCCCTGAGAACTGATAGAATTTAGAAATGGTTATAGGTCTAGAAGAAATGAAACCTGATAGAAGTGGGTCTTGATGAGAATTAGCATGTATAATTTCTCTGGGAATTTCATTAAAACTTCTTCAAAATAAATGTTTCTTATTACACTGTAACTTGGCTACCCTTAGAATTTGACTGTAGGTTTGTTTTTCAGAAATTTTGACTCTTTGGCTATAAAAGATAATTTTTTTCATGGCATTCAAAATTTTTTTCATGTTCCTATATTAACCTTGAATTGAGAATGTAAAGCCTTTAACTTATCATTTTCTTCCTTCATGCTCTTCAGTGCATTTAGAATCAATCAATGGACCATACAGTCCTTAGAGTTCCTTCATTTCCATTAAAATTAGATCCATGGGCTAACGAAAAAATAGAAATATATTTATTTCCTTCACAGTTGCATGAGGCACATGTTATGTTTGTTTATAGATCTCCTAAGGTTGGAGTTGTTTAGCTTTGGCCAGTGTATGCTGAGCAGCTGGAGCCTGCAGCAAAGTTACCCAGGTATTATCTGTGGACAGTTACTATTGTGCCCCAGTGGTAAAACCTTTAAGAATATGCATTTGAAAATCATCACAGTGACTCTTGCCTGGGGTTTAAAAGCTGAATTCCACAAGATTTTGGAACTATAAAGTTAATGTCTTGAGTTATAGTATGTTAGTCTCATTTAGGTAAAATTAGTTTATATTTTGGTCTTGGCTGTATAATAAAACGCTCTTTAGTCATGGTAAAGGTTTTGTCCTTTGAGTTTTCTAGAATCAGAACTATAAGTTCTAGCTAGAACTCCTGACTCTAGAACATTTTGGAAACCTTGTTACTGAATGCAAACCATAATAAGAAAAGTACACTAGTTGGTTAACACTGAAATAAACGATATGTAACTACCTACCCTAAAAGTCATTGCCATTTTAACCAGTATTTTTTTCTCATGCTCATGCTCTGCAGGTAGACTGCAGTTTGGTTGATCTAGGATGGGCTCAGCCAGGTGGCTCTGCTTTAGAAGGAGTCAGCTGGGCCGGCGCTAGGCTATGGGCTGGATTCAAGGGCCAAGTCTGAAGGTCAGTTGCTACACAGAGTGTGCTCTTTTCATGGCAGATTATTGAAGTGCAAGAGGGCAAGCCCAACTGCTGAAAGACGTTTAAGGTTTCTGCTTGTGTCACATGTACTAAAGTTTCATTGGCCAAAGCAAGTAACTTGACCAAACCCAACATCAATGGAGGTGGGGTAGGTGGTGTTGAGCATAGGACTGTAAACTCATCTACAGTGGGAGGGTAGTGAATATTTGCTAAATTATTCTGGATCAAATAATTCTACTTCTAAAAACCTAGGTCAGAGAAATCATCATAAGTATGTGCAAAATTTACTAATTTCTGCATGTGTAGTAAGATTAAAACAAGCCAATAAAAAACCTAAGTATCCAACAGGAGATAGTTAAGTAAAGGATATAGCCAAGGAATATTACAGACATCTACCAAAATAATTATGAAAATACTTATGAAATAATGAGAAGTGAAACAAGCAGCATGAAGCAGAAAGAAAAATTGTCAGTTATATAAACAAATTTCCCAGTGGCTGCTTCAGCATTTTAGAAGAATCGCAAAATTCTTGATGAAAGAGACTCTCTGGGTCTGAAAGGGAAGGCCATGGGCCAGTCTATATATGTAGAGGTTTAGAAATCAGGAGCTAAATTGTTCAGCATATTATGTGACAGGAGTTTTAAGTTTGTGCATTGGCAGCCTAAAAGAAAGTTGGAGCACTTACTCAGGAAAGAGAGGAGAAGGAAAAAGAAGGTCAGCACTATAGCAGCAGGCCAGGGACTAAGGAAAAGTTGCTTTTGTAATAAAAATGAACATCTAATTTCATAAGAATACTTGATCTTAATTTTTTTAAATAAATTTATTTATTTTATTTATTTATTTTTGGCTGCTTTTGGTCTTCACTGTTGCACGCGGGCTTTCTCTAGCTGTGGCGAGTGGGGGCTACTCTTAGTTGTGGTGCGCAGGCTTCTCATTATGGTGGCTTCTCTTGTTGCGGAGCACAGGCTCTAGGCACGCAGGCTTCAGTAGTTGTGGCACGTGGGCTCAGTAGCTGTGGCTCACGGGCTCTAGAGTGTAGGCTCAGTAGTTGTGGCGCACGGGCTTAGTTCCTCTGCGGCATGTGGGATCTTCCCAGGCCAGGGCTCAAACCTGTGCCCCCTGCATTGACAGGTGGATTCTTAGCCACTGCGCCACCAGGGAAGTCCCAATCTTAATTTTTAACTTTACATCATATATATTTATATTTA